CATGCTGATATGATAGGCGCCCATGCTTCTGGATTTCCATTGATGAAACTGCTCAGGATAGCATGAATTTCTGCTATAATGCTCTCTTCAGGTATTGATATATTCTGATTTGACTATAAAGATTATGTGTATGAATTAACGATATTATTTTAATCATATTGAAATGCTATGTAAAAAGGCGAATGAGTTAAGGATACAATGCGATTACATACCTCGATCTGACGAACATATTTTGTTACGGCGACAAAAAATACATTACAAAAATATTCAAGCACAGCTTCCCTCGCTGCGGGTACATTTTTTAACAAAGATAATGCTGTACGGGTTACATCTTGTGTGTTTGTACTATGGGCAGGCCGGATGGCACCGGAGATAAATTTTCTAACCTCAGTTAAAATGTCCTGAGGCGACAAAGTCGCCGTATTATGCAGCATTTTTGATGAATTATTAGTAATAATGCTTCACGTACAAAGCATCGTTCAATTATGTCCGCATTTCCAGTCAAATCAACGTAAATTTATCGCATCAATGAGCTTTTCTTGATTAAGAAGTTATGGTGTATGACAAATGTATGAGAGGTTATGCAATTATGGATGTTGAAAGGTTATGTTGTGACCGTCTCAGGCGGTCGCATTGTAATACAGGATGGTCTTAAAATTGCTTGTTCTGAAAGAAACTATTCGATGAAGTCATCAGACATTTTGCTTTTTATTCCAAAAATCATCTTTACGAATTTTATATATAATTTATATGAGAAAAAATATATTTATATCAGAATTTTATATGAGAAAGTTCTTCTCTTATGAAATATTAAGTAGAGATAATGTTACAATTGATGTACATGCACGAAGTTGAGAGAAGTTCCATGTTTAAAAAATAGAATATATAACACATCTTTTTTTTGAAAGACCATTTGTATTGCAAAAATCTTTCTCGCAAATTATATGAAAGATAATTTTTTCTTTTATAAAATATTACGTAGAAATAATGGTTTTACAATAGTTATATGTGAGGTTGAAATAGATATATCTCCATGCTTAAAAAGTAAGATGAAATTATATTTTAGATTGGCATTGTATTATAAAGTGACCATTTAGTAAATAACTTAGATGAAAACGAATTGAAGACATTCTAAAAATCCAGCTTTCAAGAATTATGAAAATAAATTAATTGATGGTTTTACATTTAAGGAATATAGTCATAGATACAAAAAAAGTCGTCCTATTTCTTTTTTTTACGTTTCATGAGTAACAGAGACAAAACTTGTGTCACCAAATGGAAAACATCTGATGTAAGATTATGAGATTAATATCAAAGTAATGTCGCAGGAAATGTAAACAGTTCAACGCCTCTTTTTTTTCTCCTGCTTCCGTGGCCGATGAGGTCTTCTTGGCGTCACTTGAGGACTGTTTTCGGAACATTCAACATCACTTGGATCATCCTACAATGACAAGAATTATTGTTGCAAGGAAGCCATTGTCTTAACAGTTTACAACAGTCAGAAGGTACCTTTAAAGCTGCTACACCATCGGATGGACCAGCCTGATACACGACTATAGCTAACAAGCACATGATTTGGAATACTGCACCTACATAAAGGCCGAATCTCAGCAACTGTTCGAATAGAGTTTCCTCTGCTGGCAGTAAAAGGCGTTTAAATTGTGGATCTGCGTCAGCCATCTCTAAATATAAAAAAACACATAGGGGTTCATCTACAACACATCAATAGAACATAAATTTATTACAACTAAAAAGATGATTAAAAAACAGTAAAATAAATTTCTAAGAAGTTTAGTCTTTATTATTAGAGTAGAATTTGTTTCTCAAATCTTGAATATATCAATAATATAACTGATAACATATACATAAATCATACTGTTGACATAACAAAGAAAATCAAGATTAAGAATAGTGTTGTTAAAGAAACATAAATTATGATATAACAATTTTTAGTACTTTACAAGAATATATATGTTGTTAACTGGATTTCAATTTGGAATATAATAAAAGTTTTAAATTTAAATGCATATAACTGTTATATTTCAATTTTACATTGTTAAGTATAAATTATACATTAATGCATTGTTATTGTTAATGTGTTTTGCAGGCATATACTTATTTCATTTTAGATATGTTTAAAGAGTATTAGTTCAGCTACAAAAAAAACAGACTAACAATATCTGGGCGAACAAACATATACAATCATGTTTTTCTCTCGAACAATTTGCATAACAAACCGTCGATCCACGCGGAATTCAATTATTTCAATTCCGCGAAGTACGTCACATCCCCACAAAAATCGCGGAAGCGTATAATCTTCCGAAACATGTTCATTCGTAAATTTATATTCGGGCTCCCCTGACGATCTTTTTTTTTTCTTTTTTTCCTAATGGCATTTCATTCTTTTGCTCTCGCACGAAAAACAATTCTGTCTTTCCTGTCTTCCTTTTCTCGCGCAAAGAACTTTCTGCGGACTTCATCAAAACGAGAGTCCTCGAGCGACAAGTACCTGCTCAATCGTGCCGGCACATCGTGTCTCGCGGTATTTATGCGAGAAATATATATCTATAAAGCCAGGAAATCAATAAATGACAGTGACCAGCGATGATCGCCGTATCGTATTCTCTCGCGCGTAGCGACAGATAGTACCAACATTAGAACGTTCATAAACATATGTACGCACGTCCTTTCCAGCCACTGCAGTCCCGTCACAGTGACGTTTCATGGAACTTAAGCCGTCTAAGCGGGGTCGCGATAGTGGTGCATGATTTGCGCGACTTTCGGCCACTTTCGGGAGGTCGACGGAAAATTCGAGATCGCGATCGTGGCTCTTCGGTTTACACGCCGAATCCGGCCGAGGCTATCCGCTCGGAATGGCTCGGTTGGGCTCGGCTCAGCTCGGTTCAGGCTCGATCAGATTCGGCGTAGCGCGACGCAGTTTAGCTCCCTGACGTTGGCAGCGCACGGTGTTCACGCTTGCCGCGCTCGCCGACAGATGGCGCCGCGCGCGAGCGGCGCGACATCTTTCCGCAACCGTGGTTAACTTCGGCCCAGTCAGGCGTCTGTCCTTCGGTGAATTTGCACACGCTAATTAATTATCTCGATTTCGTCGTGTAGCGTGTCTCACGTTTAATTTTACGCCGTATGAATTTTGGCGATCGTAATTGCAAACGAGAAAATGACGGGGAAACGGCATCAATGCGGAAATCGATTCGACCGATTTGAATTAAGCGCCGCATCGTGAGCGCCGGAAAGACGCTGGGTTCGAGGCTCGCTCGCTCGCGAGTCCGTGGATGTGGACCTTTGTTTTGTACAAAAGTAATGGCTGCCATCTCTAGTTTTCGATTGATGTTTTCCGTGGAGAGACCGAATTCCCGTGTTTATCGCGGTATTTAATAACGCAGGATCGTTCTGCGCGACGCATCGGCGTCGACCGCGATGTAAACGGTGTTCAGACGCACGTCGTTTTGGCTGCCTCAGTGTCATTTCCGCGGAAAAATGCCTGTGTTTACATCCGAGCTACGAGCGAGCTTCTGTATTCCTGTCACATTAAGGTAAGCGACGCTTTTTCGGACCGCAAATTGGTTCGGTGACGCGGTGATGTTTCGAATTGCGGAAATTTATCGAGAAATTGCAATTCTACTATCGTCGATGACGATTCCCGTTCTCGTTGGCCGACAACGATCGTCATCGTCGATCGTCGTAGTTTCTCGAATTCGTTCGCATTTTCCTCGTCTTAGTAATGTTTAGAGCCGTATATTGCGTTGTTTCATCAATCGCTCTATTCTCTGACTGAAAAAACACGTGAGTGTCTGCGGAATTGCTTCGAGGAGCGGATGAGTCCGTCGTTCGTCGTACTTAACCAAAAAAAAGTTGTGTCTCTCCCGAGGTGAAATACGGGCAGCCCGACGCGGATTCCTGGTCTTTCTTATTCTAATTCAAATGGAAACGAAGATGAAAACGTACGTCGCGTCGAATTGTCGCGAAATCTGTGAGAAATATTAATCGGGCATCTAATTTGTGCATAACGCAATTTTTCGTCTCAGATGGTGGCAACAATGGCTGGTAAAATGGTGAGCGAGGGCAGGTCAAGCGCACACACATCGCTGTGAAACTCCACGGCTCGTTTCCTGCGATCGTGAAATATGTTTTCTCAATCACGCACGTGTTTTTTATGTCAGATCAATTTAGGCGATTGATTTTTCCAAAGAAAAAAAATTTGAGACTCCTTTAAATTTTATCAGCTATGCAATTTGTATCAAATATTTGCATCTCAAATAGTTACTTTATAATTGTTTTTTTTTTTTTTTAAAGGGTACTCTCTAGAACTTTCAGAATGAATCTCACTGTGAAGAATGAAATCTTACTTTTAAAGATTGAAAATTGAGTTATTCTTTTTCAAGACTGGTTCAAATTTCACTCAGAGTGATATCAAATATTTTGAAATCTTGAATTGCTACTTTGTAATTTTTTTTTTACAGGATACTCTAAAATTTTTTGAGTGAATCTCTCACTCAGAGTAGTAACATCTCACTCTTAAAGATTAAAAATTAAGCCGTTTTTTTTTTTCAAAATTGACTCACTTTTCACTCTTCAGAGTGAGATTCCACTGTAAAGAATTTAGAGAGTATACTGACACAGATATGCCTCTATTTTTCATGTTAAAATTGGAATAACAGATAGATGTTTATATTTATATTTATCTGTTAATTTTTTTTGTTATAAAGTTATTATTATTATTTCTTAGGTCAAAGTTTCTGCTTTATTTATCATAAATGTTTTTCTTTCCAAGTTTAGTGGAGCCTTCTACATTAATAGTTTTATCAAGTCATTTTAACCAGGATAAAATTAAGTTTTTCTAAGTAATTTTGGGAAGAAAAACCAAGAAAGTTAAATGTCGATATAAAATATTTTGCCGCAAATGTAGATTTAAATTCCTAACTATTACTCCATAACTATTACTTCCATAGAATTTCGTTATATTTAATCATCATGATTCAATTTTTATACAAGCTTCCAGTATTTTCTTTTTTAAATCTCTCTGATTGTGAAAAAAAATCTGATCTTTAGGCGTTTGTCATATGAAACTTTATTATCAGCAGATGGAGGTATTAATAATTTTATTTTTTTTAGAATATTTTTTTACAAAAAAAGCAACAGATCCTATGTGAAAGGATATCGTTCGAAAGCAGCGCCAAGCGTTATTTCTTCCTCTCTACGTCGAGATTTACAATTCAGATCCAGTATACATCGCATCGACAATTTCGCTGGGATTTGAACAGATCTAACCTAAGCGCGATCGGAAAAGTCAGCAAATGAAACAGCGGTCGAAAACTGCTTCGCGGCGGGAACAGAAAAATGTTTCCAGGCGGCGCTTCCTTCGCTTGCTGGCGGCCATATTGTCCGTTCGGCCTTCCTGCGCTACCCCCCAACCCTCAGCTACCCTTTACCTTTCGCCTCCTCTCCCGTGGAATCCCCCTTTTCAGGATCTTTTCAGCATGCTATCCCTTCCAGCTGTACTCTTGCCTCTCCTATTTTCTCTCTCTTTCTCTCTCGCCATCGTCCGATTTTCCCCTCTCCGTTCTCTCGCGTAAGGTTTCCTCGCTGCTCGCTGTGAAAGCTATACGTATCTAGCGGCGAACGCGTGCTATGCGTATTTAACCGAGGATTAGTACGACACAGAGATGAAGAACGAAGTTTTATTTCGTGTTTCGGATACATCCTCGGAGAAAATCTGAAAATTTTCCAGGATCGAAACTGTTTTATGTCTCTCTTTTCCTTTCACTTTCTTCTATTGCGATTTCATTCGGCGCGAGATTTGTTTGCAAAATATTGGACACGCGCGGACTCTCCTCCCGGGTTTCACATCCATGTAGATATCTATATTCTATTTTTAGAACACGCGCACGGCTGACTTGAACCCGGTGCCGCGTGCAATAGTAAGCCGGAAGTGAAATATTAACAAATACGAGACGATGCGGCGACGCGGTATTTAAACCGTGCGCGTGCAATCGGCTAGTATTAGCGGTGTAATTACGACGGGACTACGTAAACGGAGTGACCTAAACCACTCTAAATTTTTTTTAACGAAAAATTATTAATCTTATGACTTCAAATTAATTTAAATGTATGCAACTGCGTAAACCGTTTTTATATAGAACGGTTTTGTTAAAGTATCTATATATACATATATAAATATTTAACTAACCGTTAAATTTATAATGTCAAATTATATTCAATTTGAGTCATTTTTAATTATTTGTTTTTATTATTTTTTATTATTTTCTATTAATCGCCATTGCTTCTATTGAATATATTATTTTTAACTTAACTAAAAAAAAAACGGATTTAGACAGTTTAACTTAAACAAATTTACTAAATTTGGTTTATTATTCAAATTTAGTTCATTATTTATTTATTAAGTGCATATCTACGTTATTGTATAAAAAAATTCATGTAATTTTTCATGAAAATTACATATTTATGATAGGAAAATTACATAATTATGATTGGAAATTTACTGGAAATTGTAATCATATTTAGGTAATTTTCTTCTCTAGTGTAGACGTTGTTTATTTTGAAACTAATCTCAGAAATAGATTGATTTACATTTTGATATATATGGAAATTAGCAATAATAAAATGTTGTTTAGCTCATGGAATTGGGTTATCATTGCTCCTTTAATATCTAACAGTGTGTAAATATACATCTAAAAATAATTTTACCGAACTATTAAAATTGGCAAAATGATGGGCTATCATAATAATAATTACAGCACAATAACTAGAAAAAATGTCTAGTTGTATTGGAATTCTGATTCAAAATGAACAAATCAGAATTTTCTGGCTAAATCTATTACAATTCTATTATAGTTGAGTTAAGAATTCTAATTGAAATGATCAGAATGGCTATATCAATTCTGGTTTGTCCATTTTTAACTTTTTGAGCACAGGATGCTCGAACATGATGAACAATGCCGCAAAAAGTTAGCATCTTAATAAGTAATTATTTGTTCAAAAAAATTATTTTCAGATCTAGTTAAATATTTAGGTATCCTAGCAAAACCGTTCTTTTTGTGTATATTTGTCAGTGGGTTGATCGAGATCTGCAAGCGTTTGCTATCTGCACAATAATGTTCGATACGTTTGGATCGCAGAATCCGCAGGCGATTGATCTCCGGCGCTGAGATGCGGAAATCGGGCGGTTAATTGGCCGATCGCGCCCACCACATCGAGAGTGGCATGCGTTCGATTAAAACGCCATTGCATTTCGCTTAACTCCATTACGCGTTGTGCATCCATGCACGAATCAATTATTGATTGGTTTATCCGAACGCGCTATGCTCGCTAGATAACTGGACAGGTAACAGCGCGGATGCCGCTTCGAGCTGTTTTGTAACACCGAAGGGCTCGATTTATCAACGATTCGCAACGGTCTGAGAAATTAAAGCGAAACACTAGGCTTTTAATCAAAATATTCGTTCAAATCTAATAAAATCGTACACGCGCGGAAAGGATGATCTCGCTCAAGTATCTACAAATTTAGGTGGATACAGATCTGAAAATAATTTTGTTAAATTATCAAAATAATTACGTAGAAATCTCAAGCAATAATAAGTAATACTGCAAAAAATTTGGATATTTTACACAGAAAAATATATATACAGTACACAGGTAGTAATTACTTGTTTCAAGTATTTTAAAAGTTTATACTCGCAAATCTATCATAAGTTCATCACGAGCATTAAGTTTATTTAAAATACATTCTAAATCCTGTAAGTTTAATACTTTAATCGAGATAAGTAAATTAAAACAAATTTGATTTGCTTATTATATATAAAGTCGCTTCTTCGATCAATTTTGTAATATTCTTCAAAAGAAAATTAATTCTTATTTCGAGTACACAATAATGAGTTTTTCTAAAATTTGTAATAAATATATTTTAAGAAAATATTCTTTCTTAAAAATGGCCGTTACTCAAAAGGAAGAAAGTAAATTAATCATTTTTCTTAGCAAGAGAATGATTTTTTTTTGTGTAACAATCAGTTGTAGCGTTCTATTGTACATAATTATTTACACGACAGTCCAACGAAATTATTTTTATATCTTATATTTAATTAAATTTTTAGATACTTCAGCAAAAATCCTTTCTGTATGCGATGGCCTTTTTGTATACGTATATCTCTTCATGCGACACGCAAAGTAGCGGCAGTCGAATCTTTTCAGCTGAGATTTTTCAAGTTTTATATCCGGAATATTGTATACATAGAAGTTTGTACGGCATTTGAATAGAATGTCTGTCCCATCAACAACAAAATCCAGTCGTCTTTGCGTGGGCGAACGAGCGAGGGGCTGCCAGGCGAGGTAAAATCGTATCGACCGTGAAGGAAAGAAAGTCGCACAGATTGACGAGTGAGCAAGCGACACGATTGTAATCGCCATCAGATTGATTGAGATACTTTTCGTATCAATGTAATCTCATCGGATTTATATTTCCACTTGACTCGTGAAAGGATAATAATATCAATTGATGATCTAATATTATCAGTTTTAT